CCTCTTCTCATTATTCAGATCTCCAGCCAGGCCACACTTAGTTCCACCCTTTCTAGTGTAAAAGAAAGACCAACAAAAACAAATGGTGGATCCCTCCTTCTAGTCTGGATTCGTCTTGTTAGGCGGCAGCAAGTCTTGGGTCGGTGCCGGTGGTGGCAGCATTGATCGCGGTGCCGCTGCCTGTGCCGCGCTCTGCACCGAGGTAGTCAGTGCTGTGGAGGAGACTTGACATCTCAACTCTAGTGCTGCGTGTTGGGGCTCAGCAGGGGTCTGCTGAGAGATGGTGCCGGAGGAGCCCGGTGCCTCGTAAGTGCTCACTCTGGATGAGTGGCACTGAGGGTAAAGACCTCGCTAGCGAAGCTCTCTTTTTCTGAGACCCTGGCTGGAGAGGTTGGGGCTCGCTTCCTGACAGTTTTGGAAGTCGGTGCCTTATCAGAGCTCAGGGATCTCGGTTTATGAGAGTCCCCAGAGGACGTCTCTTGCAGAGGTTGGAGGGATTTCTCCAGCAGAAGCATTTTCAAGCGGAGATCCCTGTCACGTCTTGCCCTTGTTCTTAAGTTGGTGCAATGTATGCATTTCATATGAGTTTCTCCCAGACAGCGAATGCAGGAATGTGCTGTCAGAGACCGGCATCGGTTCACGGCAGGAGTCACACTTTTTAAATCCTGTTGAGCCCGGCATGACTGCAGTTAAGCCTCTCAAGAGATAAGGGTGGGAGATAATTGTAATGGTAAACTGTAGAAACTGTTCCCAAACGGGGATTTAAGGAGAGAAAAAGTCGTCTTCTTTCTTCTCCTTTTTTTTTTTTTTTAAAGAAAAGCCTCTAAGAAGAACTAAGGAAACTATGTAACTATGTATAGACTAAGACTAACTAAACAATGTAACTAAATATAAACTAAAAATAAGTTCCTATGTAACTTGTAACTTCCCCCCCCAGAAAGTATCAAAGAGAGCACTGCCACGGAGCTCCATCTGCAGCCGAGGACTGTTGAGAAGGAACTGAGGGAATGGTCGGGGAAGCGTGCGCTACAGGAGGTGCCAACAGCTGCACAAGATGACTCCTGTACGCGCCTTTCCCCCGACCGAGTACCGCTGCGAGAAACCTCCGATCTATGGGGCAGGGATGCACCGACACCTAGAGTGGAGCACCCACAGGGACACCACTCAACGAAGAATCTCCTCTGCCACTCTCAGACCATTCTGCTTTCCCCCCACTCCTGGGTCCCACAAGGTTCCTCCTCTGCTGTTTCTTGTCCATCAGAATTCCCCCACTGTCTCTCTTCCCAAAAGACTCCGGCAGTGTACCTCAGTGATCAATCTGCCCCTTACAAGCCCTATCTCAGGGCTTCCCCCACAGAAGCCTAACCTGTTCCCTATCCTCTATTGCAGCCTGAATTCCCCCAGGCTTTTCCCAGAGGGAATTCTCTTTGTTCCCCTCTCCTGGGCCTCACCTCTCTAAGTGAGCTCTCCACTCCGTTTATATATTCTCTTCCTGACCATTTTGTCATAGTTCAAGGCAACTGCACCTGTGTTTTTCCTTAGTGGTTCAGCAAGGGCATCCCAGCTGTTGCCTCTCTTAGGTGGAGATACCCTGGTCAGAAGGGAAAGAGATGTGTATTTCTAGGCTGGACAGGTCCCTTGCCTTCACTCTGTAATTCCCAGTACAGACAGTCTGCCCAAACCCACCTGCTTCCTTTCTCTTCACAGATGGATAACAGTGTAATTGCTACAGATATAAGGGATCACATAGTTCTTTCTAAGCAACCCTACTTTATTCTTAAGGTAAAAAGGGTTACAGAGAAAACATAAAAACAATAAAAAAAGCTTACATGCATGATATGAAGCTTACCAGACATCACCCCAACCTACTTTTTTTTTTGTTTATCAGAACTTCAGCTCAGAACAAGCACACAGACTTATGAAGCTTAAGTAGGCCAAGTCCTTCCCAGCCGTCCCCTTAAGGATTGGGGCTATCTATGGACCAGGTCTCCTGTCCACTTACTGCATCAGGAAGAAGGTTGTGACTCAGCCTAAACAATACAATTTCACAACAACACATACACCGTTGCATTTTTAATACAATGTACCACAGAGATGTTTACCCTAATGCAGTAAGGTTTAAACTTAACTCAACAAAGCTTATATTAATTCCAAAAGGTTTGTTCGTACATTATAGGATATTGATAGCCTGTCACACCTTTCACAGCTGGGATCACTATCATTCAATGACCAGATCATGGACACAGCTGAGGGATAGTTGCTAAGTCAGAGACAAGGGTGAACCCAGCTTGCCTTAAAGGCCTTAAAAGTCAGCCTGTGACAACCCTCTTTACATCTAGAGTCTGAAGATGAATTTCCCCTGGGTTGGAACAGGGTCTGGGAAAGAACAGTGAGAACAGTGAGAAGGAAATACATTGCAACAGGTGTAAATCTAAGATCGCCTTAGTCATGATGCTGGAATGGGGTCACATGGTGACTTTGTCCTTGTGGACCACAGTGTAAGGTGGCATGATCATCAAAACATTAAACTCTTTCACTTTCCTAGCAGATATAATTGTTATTAGGAAGGTCATTTTGAAATTGAGAAATATTCTAGAGAGTTGTGGAAGATGCTCATTAGGAAGCCCCATCAGCTTTGTTAGGACAAGATTCAACACCCATGAAGGTAGAAGTTTCCTGATGGGGGGAAGCACACTTTACCATACCCGTACGAGACCAGGAGACTTTAGGGTGAGAGAAGAAGGGGTTTGTCCTTAATTTAATTGTGATGAGCAGAAATTGCTGCTATATGGACATTTAGGGACGCTAAAATTAAGCCCAAGCCCCAAGACTTAAGGTGTAAAACGAACTCTAGCACTGCAGGGACCCCAGCTGAAGCTAGTGAGTCCTTTACCAGTAGGCCAGATAGCAGACCATTTCCACTTTTGTTCATAGCATTTTAGCATGAAACCTTCCTGTAAGACACTGGCCTGAACCCTCTGACAGCAGAAAATGTTGACATTAACAGCAGGTTATCCTCCACATTGCTAGGTGTAGTGTGTCTGAGATGGAATGCAGAACAAGTTGATAAAGGCACAAAGTCAAACAGCAGAAATCCATGCAGTGGGGCTGCTAGTAGCCTGGATAGTGGTCAGCACCTCAGACATAGAGAGATTGAAGGTGTTACCAGCATCTGAACTGGTGAGGAGTCCAAGTTAGTTAGTTCTGAGATGTCTGATGTCAGAAAAAGGTGACAGTGGTACTGTTTGAGTCTCTGGGATCTTCATAGGTCAGCAGCATGAATTTGGAGAGAGATGGTGCTTCCTCTTTTTCTTTTGCTTATGCTCTTCTTGTGAGGAGAAATGTTTCCTCTTCTCTCTCCCCCCCCCCCCCCTTTTTAACCCTGATGGGCATCTGCAAGCACTTGTCAAGACATCTGTATCAGTGATGGAGAGTTGGTGCCAGGGGTAATGATGACAAGTAAGAATCAGACACAGAGGAGGCTGCTTCCTGCATCCTCACTAAAGCTATTGAGGCCTTAATAGATGGTAGTGGCTTGGTCTTCAGTGCTTTTTTTGACTTAACCATTACCAGTGGTATCAGATGGTACCAGTAGGAGGCAGAGTTGAGTCTGGTTCCAGCCCTGTGATAGAAAGCTATGCTAAGGCCAGAGCAGCAAAATCAGTCTTGGATCCTGCATGAGAGGAATTCAGCATGAAGGCTGCACTTGGTATCCTGGATGGTCCTGGAGTAGCAGGCTGTAGGCACCAAGAGGCCAAATGAACTTGTAGCCTCAAGTGCCCCTCCATTCTTGTTCTGGGAGTGAAGGCGTGGCAAAATGTGTACTGGGTTACCAAATGGATTGTGCCCAGACACGGATACAGGCATTGGTCTTTGGTATGATCACTGGACAGGAGGCACACATCTTGGAGCCCTTACAGAGCTCTGTGCCCAACATGGCACCAATGAGAAGCTGAAGGAGCCTGATACAAAGGCAGGCTACATACACTAAAGTTATCCTTTACTCCTCCACACTTACTAACTACAAGAAAATAATCATACACTAGACTAAGAGAAGAACTTAGATTGTAAACTGTTTGAGACGGGGACTGTCTTTTTGTTCTGTGTTTGTACAGTGCCTAGCACAATGGGGTCTTGGTCCATGACTAGGAATCCTTGTATAGTAATACAAATAAATAAATAAATAAAGCATAAATAAATAATTTAACCTGACACAAGGGTGAATCCCATTTTCTCTCCGTGACAGCAGCAAAGCAAATGAGGTGGTTGGGGGGGTGTACATCCTTATACAGAATAGGGTAATGATGTCACCCTTACAGAAGATGCATATCCCACCCATTTCCCCAACAAACAGCTCAGACCGAGGAGCACCACATCCACAAATGGAAATGGACAGAAACCCAGAAGACTAGTCTTTTACAATATGTCCTATTTTAATGTGTTGTATTACATCATCCTGTTTTCACAAACTATGAAATCTGCATGTTCACTCACAATTTCTTTGAAAAGTTGAGTCCTTTCTTTTGCCTGATATTTGGCTAATATTAAAAGTTCATAGGCACATTATTAAGTGCAACTTTGAAACATAATAGATTTGTTGATGAGTGTATACAGGTTCTTATGCAGTGAACTAGGAATATTAAATGGCAGAGATAAACTCTATTGAAATGTAAATTATGAACGACAATAAACAATTTCATAACTCTCCAACTGCACTGTAAATACCTAACTGCTCTTTAGGTTTGTACACCCTGTATATCACATAAATAACACAGAGTAGGTGACTTTGAAGCTGTAATACCACAAGATAATTGAGTCTGCAATATGTAGATAGATGATCTTATTACTTATTATAGTTGTGTTATATATGTTACAGTATAGTATGCTTTCATTAGTTGTACCCAACCAAGCGTAATCAAGTAAAACCAAGTGTAATCAAATCCCTATTTAATAAGGGTTACCGATACAAATAAAGGAATTAAAAATAAATGTTTACTTACTTTCAATTATCACTTTTCTGCCGGCCCAGTTGTCTTTAATAAGTTGTATATTTCCAAAATGTGCATCACTAAAGAAGATACGGTTAGTACCCGTTCCTTTCAGGTTGTAGTCAAAAGCCAATGCTATCACATTTTTGAAGTAGTCTGGATTTTCATATGGCCTTACTGGTGAATTTAAATTGGTCTCATCTGAAAGATGTATACTTTTTAATATCGTCCTTCCTGAATACAGCAAGTAACCTTCATGTCTCAGACAAGTAACTCCATCCTCTCCAAGATAGCCATGTGCACAAGCACACGTTCTCTGTGCATTTCCTCGATACAGACAAAGTTGCTGACATCCACCATTGTTCTTGGCACAAACATTAGTACCTGTAAGGAAAAATTAGTCTGGCTTTTGTAACTGTCACAGTTGGTTGACTTAAATCAGAATAAGCTTTTATTAAGCATACAAAGGATTCTTTGATGTAACCATTTGTGTTATATTTGTTAATGCAACAGAGCACTATGAAAGTAAAAAAGAACCATTATTGTTTAGGTCTCAAAATTCTGACCACCACCCTAAACTAATTTTTAAAAAAGAATTTATGAGCATGGATAATTAATGTTGTTTTCAAATGGTAACAGTACATATTTTACAAATATAGAATATGTAATTACTCAATCTTAAGGAATTGAAAATCTGTGAATTTTATTAACTTTTTCAACAGTTTTTAAGAGATGGTTTTTAAAAAAATGTTACTTGCAAAAAAATAATAATCAACTTTCGATTTCCTTAGGTTACAATAATTTATTTCACAAATTTGTATATATCTTCTACCAAAATTTAAATATATATCAACATACGGAAAGACACATTACCAATATTTTATTGAGCCATTTCTCAATGTTTAGATGTATAGCTATTTGCTAACATTTTATTTTCAATTCCTTTGATTGCTGACTTAAAAAAAATTCCCCCTACCAAATGTACACAATTAAGGAATTATTGTCAAAATAATAACTTCTGTGTGATTTTATGACATCAAAGATTACAAAACTGTCAGAAATTGCAGAGAAAGTATTTTTGTCTGTCTTTTCAGTACTTTGTATGTAGTCTGTTTCACTAGCTTCCATAGTTTACTTTGTGCATTTGACAGCATTTTCGGTATAGTCAATTTGACTCACACTATAGTTACTTTTCCATTTGTGAGAGTTTTCCACACAACAGTGGAGAAAAAAACTTTTTTTTAAAAGTTGTTTTGTGGTTGTAAAACCACATAATTTGTCAGGTAACTCAGGGCACATTTATTTTAAACATATGCATTGATTTATGTATTTATTTATGTAATTGCTATATTTTAAGCTGGGTATCCTCAGTGAAAACAATGGCTCTTTTATGAGTATAAACACTGTCACCATTTCTTTTCGCTAAGATAAAGTTAGAAAAAACTTGAAAGTTATTACACATATCCTTGCCCCTAAGGAGATAACTATAGTAAAATAAAATGAAAACATTGTGGAGAGTTATTTGTACACCATTTTTATCAGATTTTTTGATGGTTCCTTAAAGTATTAGTAGGCTAGATGGGAGATGTTTTTCTTTTGTCATGGGAGATGTTTTCCTCAAACTTCTATATATTCCTATATTCCTCTCTCTATATCTATACACATTGAAATGGTATTTAAAATCAATGAAATATAGAAGAAATAAAGTAAACTTTATTTCTTCTATATTTCATTGATTTTAAATACCATTATAATGTTATTCAGTAAGGCCATGATCCTGAAACTATGCAGAATTTCACTGATGCGGGGACAGAAGTTTGCTTGCAGATCATAGTGCAGGATTTGTACTTTGGAAAGGGTAAAACAGATGTTTGAGGGAGAGAAATGAGGATTAATCACTTGTCACATGTTTTTTTTATTAGTGCTAGACAGGTCATGAAGCAAGCTAATTGCATTTTAAAACTTCATTTAACTATTTTAGCTAAATAATAATAATAACTTAAATGAGAGAGAAAAAAAATCCAAAAATATTTTCCCCATTTTTCCGCCTTTGTCTTCGTGGCTCACTGACAGCCCCTCCAGAAGACATTTAACGTTTGTAGCCTAGTAAAAATCATTCAACTATAATAAAACATGTTTTTCAAATTAACAATCAAAAGATTTTTATCATTTTATTTTTTTTCCAATAACTGTCTCACCCATCACTAGTACAATCAAGTCTTTAAAGATCTAGTTAAAAATTATTTAAAAAAAAAGACTATTTTTCAACCAATTTTTCTATATTCCTGGCTCTATTATACACAAAGCCCTTCCAAGAAAGCAGACATTAACTCTTTCTAAGCCCACTTAAAAAAACAGTTAAAGATGAGTGAGGGATTTTTTTTTTTTTTAGTCCACAAAATATTATCTCTTTAATCTTCTGAAATCACATGTACAGAGCCCTAACAATGGCAATACCCAGCAAATTGTCCAAAAGAGAGCTTTCTATTCTACATCACTAAAACATTTTTTTAAAAATAATGAAAATACACTATGTTAGAAAACAAGAAAAGTCAGTGGTATTTATTGTAAGCATTATGTCTATCATATGTATGAAAAAACAAACCCACAAAAAACAAAAACAAAACACCACATCCTCTAAAAGGCATTACAGATTCCATGATGTGTAATATTTTAATTACAGCACTTTGTGGATGCCAGGAACACCAGAGACATGGTCTTATCAGAGTACAAGGCAAACCTTATTAATTTAAACTTGATATGTACTTGGGTGTGCGTGCACAATTTAGACTGGATTCACTGTTTTTTTGGTGGTAACTCTGTGTTTGGAGGAAACAAATATAATCTCTGCTAGAATTCTGGTCAGCTTTGCTCACCAACAGCTTGATCCAAAGTCCACTGAAATCAATGTTAACCTATCCACCGCCTTAAGTTGCTACGGATGATCAGGAAGCTTTGAGCTTTGGCTGTCTAATTAAATCAGTTAGCATGGTATTGATCCATTACTGACTGATTCTTAATGCCTCCTGGCAATTGGAAGGCAGGCTTCCAGGTTTCCCCGAACAAGCTGATATTCGGCTCACTCTGAGGAAGTTCTCACTTGATGGCGATCTCACAATTTTGGTACTAATTCCAACCTTTTCTTTTTCGGGGAAGGTGATTGAGAAGGTTGTGGCAAAGCAACTATGGTCTACAGTAAAACATGAAATTTGGAATTCTGAGTTTCCCTTGATCCCTTTCAGTCGTACCTTAGGCTTGCACAGGGTACTGGATAATTTTTAATCCTTGACTTGTAATGGACAAGTGCCAGGTATCCATGCTGATTATTTTACATCAGTTTAAGGCCCATGTCCTACTCAGACACATGGTTCTGGTTTTTGTTTTGTTTTGTTTTACTATTGAAAGAGTGATGGGGGGATTTTGTTTCATATATTTTCTTTAGGAACACTGTTAGAAAATTATAATTTAAAAAAGGAACAATGGGGAGAATTTTAAAAAAACTTTCATAAAACAAGGATGATTTTGCTTTTCATATTATCCAAAATTAATACACAAAAAGAGTAACATATGATATTAAAGTCATTATTAATATAATTAGCAAGAGCAAACCTTTTTCTTGTTGTCTGTTAAAAACTTTCACTTCCTTCAGGTTTATTCCTAGGCCAGTCCTCATGGTCACAGCATCTGTGGCATCATTCTTATGACCTCTTCTGATCGAGCCATTAGCATGTGCTCTGCCAAAAATAGTTGAAGATGGCTGATCAACAACCCTCATATAATTAAAATCAAACAAGTAATTAAAATGCGACAGACAGCTGGCCTACCAGAAGCTGAAGAAATCAACTCTTTTCTGTGACATTGATATGCTTTGAATACCAAAAGTACCTTTTCTGTGGAAATTGCATAGCTTTGTGAGATCCTTTCTGTGACCTTGCTATGGAATGGCTAATCCTACAAGGGTGAAGTATCTGGCACTGAAATAACATTTTGAGACTCAAATACTTATGGAAAAATAAATTACCTGTCAGACCAGTAGATGTAAGCTCCAAAGACTGCTACTGAAAACATATCCACATTGCTCCCTGACAGCACAATCTCCCGGTTCCCTCCACTCTCAAGGTCGATTCTTTCTATCTTGTCTGTACGAGCATCACACCAGTATAATTTATTTTCCTAAAGATCAATTTCAAAGTAAACTTCAACAATCTATTTTTGTCTGAGAATTGTATTATGAAAATAACAGAATGCTATTAAAGTGGAAGACCAACTTGTAATGCAATATATTTAATGCACATTTAATATGTAGTGGAAGATACAGGAACACACCTCATAGTCAATGGAGATTCCATTAGGCCAGGCAATCCCCAAGCTCACAAGCACAACCTTCTCAGACCCATCTAACCGTGCCTTGCCTATGCAGGGAGTCTGTCCCCATTCCGTCCAGAACAAATACCTAAAATATTGCAGAAATTCACAATAAATAGATGAACATGTGCAGACCTGCATATATTTGGCAACAAAATATAAGTGCAGTTCATATAAAATCAATGTTTACAAATATAAAACTCCAAAGGATTCTGATATTCAACTGGCATAAATAACACATTGCTGTCCTTTTAAAGATGAATATGAAACATGATTTACAGAGACTAATCATCTTATTCAACTTGCTTGATCAACTCCTTGATATCTCAGCCTTTGTTTTAATATCTCTACTTTTTAGCAAATGCCTAGGTAGGCAAAAATGTACAATGTAGCAATCAATACGAAAGCTCAAGCAGTTTCATGGGTTGCTACTAGGTTTCTGATCAATCAAAACATTTGGGACACTGGTTATTAGAAACTGCTAGGCCCCATTAACAACTCTTCAAGTTAAAGTCAGAAAGGCAAACCTTTTCTCACCTCTATGAGAAGAATAAACCTTGGTCAACTTTGATATCCCCTATTTGCTAAGGTAATTAAGGGCCTGATCAAAAGGGCCCTGAAGTCAAGAGGAGTTTTTACACTGATCTCAATATGCTTTGGATCAGGCCCTAATACCACTACTGTAGTTTGTATGAAGTATGTAGGTGATATTTGCCTATTATATTTTGCATTTCTGTAGCTTATTTGTAAAACTGCAGTGCTCTTCCCTTTATGTTTTGATCTGAGATACAAAGATACAGGTGGTGAGGTTTTTTTAGACAAGGTAGGTGATTTATCTTTTATTGGACCAATTTCTGCTTTTTTAAACTTGTTATAAAAATATTTTGATGTAGTTCCATATGTTGATAAAACATGAGCATATCAGAGACACATTAGAATATACCTTAACAAATCCAGTATTCTATTAACAAATTTAGCAGAAAATTGCATTACCGCAGAGTTAAGGTCATTTTGGTCAATTCCTGAACAGCACAAAAACCAAAATAAAAAAGTCTGAAGCTAAGGTTCTTTCACAAACAGAATATACTTTCTGTTTCATATATATTAATAAATACACTCACATATGTGTACAAAAAAAAAGAAGGAAAAAAAAGCCACATAACAACATAGGTCTGACCATAATAAAACAAATTCAGCTTTTTAGAACATTATGTTTGCATATACTTACAACATATTTAAGTCATTTTTGAAGAGCTTTACATTTTTAACAATTATATTCTTACAACATCTCATCTATGTTCTGTAAACAAACACACACACATGATATTAAAATGTAATGGATGCATCTGAGTATAAAGACCAGTTTCTTAATTGATGTACATAGCATAGCTCTATTGACTATGGAGCTATGTCAATTGACACTAGGTGCCTCATTAAATCACAGACCTATAATTATTATCCAACAGAATAGTGAAACTGCAAGAAAAAAAAATAGAATTCCCTTAAAATACAAATATAGAATATTTATTTATTACGGGGAGCACCTTTAATAAATTAGACACCTTCAGTCTAAAAATATGGAATATTCCCTGAAAATAAGAGACTCATATTCAAAAGACAGGCAGAAGGTTGGTGGAAGGGGAACAACACAGAAGTAGAGTGACCAAGATACTAATTCACCATATCCTGACAAAATGAGATTACATTCAATAATTAACTACTCATAACTACACCACTGGGCATGCTGGGAAGGGGGGATGCTTAGATCAAAGCTCTGCCTACAGCCTGTTCTGAGCAGAATGAGGGAATGTAGCAAGTCTACAGAGCCTGCTTCCTTCCGTGAGATGAGTGCTGTGGTACAGAACACCAGCTCAAAGGAAGAGAGGGAACATATGACACCCCTTCTACTCCACTGCACCTTTAATTACGAACATAGTTAACACATTGGGCACAGCTTAAATGAAGTTGAGGAAAGATTTTTTTGAATTAATATTGTGAAATATGAAAGTTTAAATTTTCACACATAGAATAGAATAGAATAGAATATTTTAATGTTCAGACCATTAGTTTCTACCAACTAGCGAGGATTTCAAACTCTTCCTGGCTTCCTCTAGCAAGAAATGAGCAGGATCTTTCTTTTAATAAGAGATTTCTTACGTCTAGTCCACTAATACTTTCTACAGAGACAGCATCCTCAAAACAAATAGCTATCAATAACTCAGAACATGCCAAAATGGAGTTTAACAATAGATTCCTCTGTTCTATATATAAAGTGGACAGTGTTGTTGAAAATGTAGCTCCACACTAAATGCAACATTATATACTTATTAAATGCACTCCTGAACTCACGAAGAGTGCACACACACTCTTTGACCAAATGAAAGCTTGTAAAGGCAATCTACTCCCCAGTTGATTCAGGTTTGTCCTGGGCAGATTGTACCTACAAGTGAGAAAGACCAGAGTGTCCTATCTGGCTATCACTTTGGCAACACTTGTATATCTTGGCATGCTAATGAGGTATTAATGAATTTAATATAAATTAGTTAAATGCATCTACAAGAGTGTGAGAATATGGATGCTGGATTGACTTTGGGGGAGCATTAAAATAGGGTTGCAGGGAATGATGCCAGAAGCAACAACTGTAGGGAAGGAGGAGTGTGGGTGCTGTAAGGGGCTAGACAAAGAGGAGGTCCATTTTAACTGGCACTCTGGTTAAAAGCATCATATACTAGTTTCTTTGTAGTAAAATATCTTTCCTGTCCATAGTAAAAGGCATTCATCTTTAAACTTCATGTCATAAGTGAAAGACGTAATGACAAATATGAAAAATAATATTTTATTATTCAAATATTAAATATAATACATATCTTATTCTATAGAATTTAACAACTACATCAGGTAACTTCTAAGTTTCTAAGATATTAAGCTAAAGAGGGACCCAAAGAAACATAACCTGTCAAAATTTCCAAAAATGAGTCATTAAAAACTCACCTTAACTACATTTTCAATGCACCTTTAACTATGGAATAGCAATCAGCATCTCCAAGATTAACTATACTTGCATTCACATGTTTAATCAGCATTATTTTCTTGACATAGAAGTTAGATTGAATGCTGACTTCAGAAAAACAGTTCTTCATTCTTTAGTTCAACTAAACACTTGTTAGTCTTTCTCTTAGAGCGCTAACTGCTTGTCTGAGACAACTCCAGTTACACACAAAAACCATATCTAGTAAGGTAAAAATTCATTTGGGACTCCTAACCAGAAGTTTGTAGGGAAAGAAGCCCTGAAATACACTATCAAAACACTAGCAGAATGACAGAGAATAGATGTTGCTAACTGATGTGGAAAAATGTATAGGACCTTCCCATGTCAATGTACATATCTTGTGGATCTCTGAAGATGGCACTTCCCTATATAGAGAGGAAACAACAGGGTGAAAAGAGATGATGTTAAATTTAATCTACTTGAAGTTAATATGAAATATCTCAGGTTAATTTGAATGGGACAGAGGGATCAGTCTTCAGTATTTCCGAATTTTTTCAGTGTGAATTAGGTAAGTACATAAAGTTAAAATACCTAAACTAATCAGGAACCTTCTCCTTGGCTTCATCCAAGAAAATCAAAATTAGTCAAATCCATATCATCTTGCAGGCATAAGTGAGGTGAGGCAGACAAATTACTGTATAGGTCTAAGGTACCTTTCTGAACTTACTCAGTATGGTTTATATTACTATCTAGAAACATTATCAGAAGGGGATGAACGATGCATGGTTTATATTTTGCTATGACTGGCAGAATTAATAAATAGAGCTGTTTGGGAATTTGAAGATAATTTGTTTTTTGACCAAAAACACCAATTCATCAAACTTGAAAGGGGCTGTTTTGATTAAAATTTTCAGGAATGTTTCCCAGAGATCCATGATGGTATTTCTGCTCAAAACCAGAGAAAGAGAGAGAGCCCCCCAGTGATACCTGCCTGTATTCACATAGGATGCAGAAGACCGGGGAGATGCCTGATTGACAGCAGGGATTTGAACACAGTTCTCTCATATCACAGGTGTGTGCCCTAACAAATGGGTTATAGTCTGTGATCACTCCTGTTGGAGCTGTTGCACTTTGTATAACTAATTAAATATTAATTAATTTAAAACTAATTAAAGAGAGAGAGAGAGAGAGAGAGAGAGTGACTGGCTTGATAGGCCAATGGTTAGGAGACAACTCAAATGCAGGAGATACAAGTTCCTGTACTCACTCAGGGAAAACAGAGGCTCGAACCTGGTTCTCCCCTCCCTCCTACATCCCATGAGTGCCATAACCACTGAACTATTGGCTATTCTGTGATTTTGCTCACACTGTTTTTTTGTGAAAAAAATATTGGAAGATCTCTGGTTCTCCCTAATGCAGAATGAGAAAATTTTCAACATCTCTAAAATTTTCAAGGGATAAGAAAACAATTTCCCTCTCAACTTTACTTATAAGGGTTTAACAATTGTCATTTTCACTTCCCTTTTGCAGCTGTCAACTTTGGTTTCATTGACATAGAGCTGGGGTATAAGCAGCTATTAAAGGTTTATCTAGAAAGAAGGCAAGAGGGGGAGGAGTGAGGAAAGGAGGCCTACATCTCACATAATAAAGAATTTATTACCACCATCCACCTATCCAAAAGATGCCTTTGCCCCAGAGACTTCATTCTTTCCTGAAGAAATCACAGAGGTGCAGTCTGGGGCTGGGTAGAGGTTTACAACTTCAGAATTTATCTCAAGTGACATTTTTGAGGCTTAGAATAAAAGACAGAGATCCAGCCAAATTGGGATATACTGTCTTGCCACAAGAGGAACACTTACTAATTAATGTACCTTCGTATTCACCACTTCCTCAATCATTTTGAACACACTCTGAAACCTAGAAAGCTTAACAAGACTGCAGAAACTAAAGAATCTTTCCACTACTGAATTTGTTCATAAATCATTTCATACACAGTACACTGTTCTCTTTTTTTTCTACTGTCTTGTACTTCAACTGGAATTGCTGAACAAAATCCTCCAGACAGTAATTCACCTGCCATTTGTTGTACTAGCTACTTTTGCGTTGCACCAAATCACAGTATTTTAAGATTAGAGGAGAGAAAGAGAAGGCACAGTAATCTAGTACAAAGATTTTTCCCCCCTAGCATAGCAAACAAGGAAATTCTCATTTTTAGCACTGCCATTTCTCTTTTACTTCCTTATATGGCTATTTAGGGTTTATTCCTTTAGTAATTTAAAACAGGAGACAGTCAGGAACCGGCCTGTGAAAAATGTTTGCATTGAAACACAAAACACACACGCCTGGTTCCAGGTTTAAGTGAAAGAAAAAGCTCCTTAACATTCATTCCCACTCAAGGCCTCTGGATCCACCCTCCCCCATAAGAAGGTTTCAGATTTTAGATGTCTCTGCAGAATGAAGATTGGGGCTACAATCCCTCTCTCCTCCCCAAATACTCGGGAGTAGCTGACTGTTTCTTTTCCTACACTTCTAAGCTCTTTTAGGTGGGGGATTTATTTATAGAGCTCACTACTGCAACCTGCAGGCACTCCCCAGGTAAAATAAATCTGCACAATACTTCCTGTGAGTTTTCCCTAGTCGGGCGTAAGTAATTCTACTTGAGGAATGTATAAATAATGGTGGTCACATCTTCATTAAAACATTTACCCTGAAGTTGGAGCTTGTTTAAATACACAAGCCCCTTTGGGCAAGAGTACTTCATCTGACTCTACTGTGCTTCATTCGGGGCTTTTTGAGGTGCTTTGTCCCAGAGAAGCGCAGCTGTCCTGACAATTCGTCAACAGAGATGTGGTCACTCACATAGCTGGGTTCCGATCCCTTAGTTGTTCTGAAGACAAGAAACAAGGCCTTGAACTGTCAGCAGAAGTAGACAGGCCATCAGTGGAGTTATCTGAACACAGGAGTTATGTCATGTTGAGGCAGACTTTGAGATTCTGCACTAGCTCAAACCTCTGGCTGCTTCCACCTTCAACCCAAGCTATAATGAATTATAATAATCCAAGCTGAAGAATACATATATCACTATTGTTAGATCCTTATCCAGGAGGAAAAGAAAACAGTTTCAGAAGTCATTTTCCATCACTGATGCTAACTGAATGTCGAGGCTTAGTGGTAAGTTGGAAGAACCACTCTAGGCTTCACGCCACTTTGAAGAACTCCCCTGACTGAATGTAAAAGCTTATTTCCTGTAGGTATTGTGATCTCCTTATGATGGGAGTTGGTTGAATCTGTGGAAAATGAGATATATAGACGTATATATGACTTTCTAAGGGACTTTTGTGTTTTCCGGGAGGTTGGCAATTTCAATTTTCTGAAAGAGACATTGATAATGCATTAGCAGTAGACACAGTTGTTCTCCACTGGCCTTTGCCTGTCAGGAAGGGCACAGGTTCTGTTTATATGTGGTCACTCAACTATGTCTCTGGGCTTCCCCATGTGTAATGAAGCCAAATTCTATCATATAGTTAATGCAATCTGGTGTGATTTAGAATATTTTGTCTCGGGAAGTCCTTTTCATAGTTGATATTTTCTTCAAAGTAGGATGAGAATTCTTTGTAGTGGTCAGTGTTTCTGTCTGATGTTTCACTTACACAATCCAGAACACCTCTGCTGGCAACAGCTGTGCAGCTGTGATGGTAAGGGGATCGGTTATTGCATCAGCATAGTCCACAGCACTTTGCAATTGATGGATGGATCTGAAGAATGTTTTGTGCCACCACCATTCTATTCTTGTACCTAAGCACTTCATCAGATATAGTTTGTCCATGAACATTGGAGATCTTCTTGTTTGGTGCATAGAAGATGTTAGATTGGGGCCAACACATTGATATTTATGGCCATCAAAGAATTACACCATTCTAATAGTTCATCACCACATTGGGCTTATTATAGTTGGATAGTTTGTATTCTGACAATGTGCTGAAAACTTAAAGAGGATTCAAAAAAATTAAGCACACTTCTGATCTCTTGCTAGCCTTCAGGTAAAAGACTGTCTAAGAGTAGGGAAACTGTTCTGGAAATAGGGAAGTAGACTGTAATATTTAGTTTAAACAGAGATGTCATAGTAAGTATCTCAGTATATGAGAACATCCAATTTTTATAAAAACTGTTTTTTACAGTACAATCTTTGCCTGGTTTTATTGAAGACTCTAGCAGTAAACAGATGTCAGAATGAATGCCCAATTTACTAATTATAGAGTTTTAATATTAGCATGCATTTTTTTAAAAAGATATAGAAATATTTAAGTTACCCTTTTTCTGGGTGCACTGCTATGGATCTTGGCTGGTCCAGACCCTGGGATATAATTACGTATCGGAATGAGCCATTGAGTCTAGCAACTTCAATTAAGTTGAAGCCATGATCTGTCCAATATATGTTACCTAGGAGAAATACCAAGAAATTACTAAGAAAATAAACTACTTCTTTAAAAGACCAGCTGCTGTTTAATCTCAGCTGCATAAAACATAGTAGCAGAGAATAATGTTCTGTATTTGTTTTAATATGTTTTTAGGTTTTATTACTCTCTCATTAAACATAGTTATTATGAACATACACTGAAGTGAAATTTGTAATTTTTAATCCTATTTTCAAACATTTCTATCTTAAGGTCCAAACCAAATCTGTATGTATCAAAACAAAGTTGAAACTCCACACCTAAGAAACAGGGGGCATTTTAATTTTTCAACTGTCTTCAAGCATAAGAGAATGTCTAAAACCATTTTTTCCACCTTATGGAATTCTTGGGAGATTTTTGCTAAATTCACAGTGAGTGATCTTCAATACGAAAAAAACATATCCAGAGGCTCTGAATATTGGAGAGAGTGAAGCAGAAAGAAAAAAAAATGCACCTCTGTGGCTAGAAGTACAGAAGTCTACTATTATCAAGTAGGGGTTTTTTTAGCATAAAAAAGGCCTATCAAAAAGGTATTTAAGAAATAATAAAGGCACTGGTGATACCCGCTATCCAATCCACTGCTATGCCTTCAACCCTTCCCAAGCCATTTGAAATGATGTCTTCTTTCCAGGTCTGGTCTCGTCTAGCTCTGCTAATTTTGTTGAAACCCATGTCAGTCCAGTAAATTGTGTCATTTCCTGGAGAAAAAAATACAGACAGAAAAAATATAATTAGTAAAAGCTATCACCTTGACTGGGGAATAATTCAATGAAAAATGTTCTGCTCAAAATGAACCTCACATTTTTGCTCAATCATCCACATGAGGAACTACATTGTTTCTTCACAATTTTAATATTATTATATTAATACCTACCCCAGGATTAAGATAATAATATTTAAACACCATCCCCATCTCCAACTACTTATTTTCCCCATCTTCTCCATTTAAAAAATAAATGTACAATGGGCTAGATCTTCCAGTAATGAAAATCAGAGTAGATTCAATGATCTTGAGAACAAGGACTGTCTTATACTACTGTATATTTACAACTAATATCACAACAGGGCCATGACTCTGATTTGGGCCATTGCTTTTCCTGCCACAATACTTGTAATAAAAATAATATACTAACAGTATGCTTTCCAATGCGATACCTTCATATTTGTACTAATGTTATTTCTTTAATGCCAGTACAGCTTTTTAAAAATAATTATTTCAACAACATTTGGGGCTCTTAAATATTATGGGGCAAATATTGGGAACTACCTACATCTACCCCCTTCTCCTTGGCAATCATGCAGATAAAATGTTTGGAATCATCACGTATATCTAATAAAGATGTGAAAAAAACTCATGTAATGATACAAAGGAAGTTTAGAAATTTGACAACTTGTGACTCATCTTCTAAGTTAACACTGTAAACATATTGCAATTCCATTTGAATAGATGGCTAAATTCTGCCTTCAAAGTGGTCAAGTAGAGTCTTGGACTTATGGAGTGAGTTATTTCCTCTCGGAAATGACTAGTTGATAAAGATCCAGGATATTCTTTCCCTGTTTATTTTTATTTTCATTGTGCAAATATCTCCTATTATTTTCATGAACTAATAGACATGAAACAACAAAAGCAACAGCAAAACTTACATACATGTGGACCAATTTCAGAATGCTAACAAAGTACAACTCTGTGCTCAAAAACTGAAGCCAAACTGTTCATCTTTCTGCAGTTTCCCACAGACACCACTGCCAAATTCTCTCTAAACCCACCCCAAACACATAAACGTCCTACGTCAGAAGGACATGCATTTGGTCTGTAACTCCAAAAATAAAATATGGCCAAAATTTAAAAAAACAAAAAATCAAATATGGCCTTGAGTAACTGGTTCAAATTGAGAAAGTAGGTAGAACTAGACTCTCTAAAGTTTGTGCAAATTCATTTGGAATTGTATAGTTTACAAAGAGAGCCATTTCAAGCTGTTCTATTTACAAGGAAATCCTGCTTTTGAGAGGCAGTGTATGATTGTGTGTGAATTACCTACAAAAGTGTATTGGGTAGATGAGACTACATGAAAATGTTGTATCTACTATTGTTACAAATAACTCTTAAGATCATAACTCAGAAGGATTACAGAGAAAATGTTTGTTTACTTGGTGCAACTAACAGCACTTTCTGAAAAGTCATTATCACTGTTTTGCTGATGGTGCATCCTGTTCCCCAGACCATGAAATAGCAGAGCTGAAACTGTATAAACAGCAAACAGCTGCTACCCGGGTACACAGTCAGAAAGGGTGTTAGGGTGAAAAGTGGGGCAGAACATGTTTGGACTGGCTTTCAGAGATAGCAAAAAAACACTCGCATGAACATAGATGGGGCAAAAAAAATAGTAACTTTTTTAAAAGAAAAAAGGAGAGGCATACTATTTAAAGTGTACACATCAGATAATTGATCTTTTTAAATAAGCCATTTAATAAACAAATGTTGACTGTGTTCTTTAAAACACCCAGATTAACCAAGGATGTTATGCTTATTTTCCAAAATAGAAAATGTGTAAGTAGTTTAGTGATCTAAATCTATGAGGTAATTAAAAAAAAAACATATTAATATATGTGATAAAATACCTGGAAAGAATATTCCTAGTATTAAAAGCATGACTTTTTTCAAACTATAGTAATTAATAAATATTTGCATTTAAAATGGAAGTATATAGTACTTTATATAAGAAAATACATACATTATGCTGACACACTAACTGGGCCAAAAGAGCAGCATATGAAAGCCCATGAGACTCAGTTTTAGAAACAAGCTTCCAATTTAAAACAAAATGAAATAAATAAATAAAAATAAAATAAAATATAAACCCTCACTGCTCTGAGCTGATGAGGGCTGAGAACATAAAAATATATCTTAAAAGGGGGGGCCACAATGATACTCTTTCACACATCAAAGTTTCTGGTTATAGAAAGGGATTTCAGAAATGTAGGTTAAGATTTGTTTGCCCTGCCATTTGCAGCAACTGGCATAACATATGTGGCTGTTTTAATGGTTGGTCATAGGTAGCTGGAAAGCAGCGGAGAAGTAAGGATGGCATGATATGGTATTGTTACCCTTACTTCTGCGCTGCTGCCTGCAGAGCTGGGCTCTCAGTCAGCAGCTGCCACTCTTCGGCCACCCAGCTCTGAAGGCTGCAGCACAGAAGTAAGGATGCCATGGTATGGTATTGCCCTCACTTCTGCACTGCTGCTGGCAGAGTGCCACCTTCAGAGCTGGATACCTGGCAAACAGCTGCCACTCTGAAGGCATCACAGAAATAAGGGTAGCAATACTGCGCCCCCCCTAAAATAACCTTGTGACCCCACTGCAACTCCCTTTTGGGTCAGGACACCCAATTTGAGAAACACTGGTTCTCCCCCCACCCCCATGTAGTATAGGGTAAAACCACACAAAAGACCAGATTTCATGGGGGGAGACCAGATTTCATGGTCCGTGATGCATTTTTCATGGCCATGAATTTGGTAGGGTCCTAGTCATATGGTATGAGGGTTATATCACAAAGCGTAATATATTTGAGCTTACCATGGAGAGATGCCAATCTCTTTCATTGAGGCAATACTTTCCAATTTTGACCCCACACCTTTGCCAAAGAAAACCGAATCTGTCTGAAATTCAGATTATAGGTCAGGTAGAATTTTATTTTGTGCTAAAAAGCTGGAAACAATTCAGACAAGACAGTGTGTGAGCGGGGAACTAAAACATGAGGTACTCACTTTTGGAAAATGTTCATAACCTTTTTTGGGAAAACACTATTAAAAAATCATTCATGCTGAACTAGAATTTCACAGGAACATAGGAACTGCTGTAATGGATCAACCCAGTGGTCTATCTAGTCCAGCATGCTTTCTCTAGTAGTGGCCTGTACCAGATGCTCCATATGCTTCAGCAAGAATATTGTCATGACTTGATCCAGCCACGCTCCCCAGACAGAACCCAGTCTGGTGTGATTGGATCTAACTGCTGAATCCCACATGCCTCTAACTCTCCTGAGTCAGGGTAGGCACTCCAAAGCTGACACATCGATAAGCACATTTTATTCAAAGGGTTTATGGCAATAAGGAAAGGGAATTTTGAAATTTATCTTTCTCTTTCTATAGTAATGGTAAATCTAAGGTTTCTTCTGTCTGTTTTCATCAATGGCCTTGCAGGATGCTTGCTCCACACCCACAGAATGCCTGACCCTGATGAGGAGGAGAAAGAAGAGGGACTAGGGAGGACATGTTCAGCAAGATCCTGCAAGCCAGTGCTGCATCACACCTAGAACAAAGGGCCAACATGGCAGACAGCCTGGAGAAGGAAAGAGCGAACAGGAAAAAGTCCCAGGAGTCCCAGCAGGAACAGGAGACAGAAATGCACCAGGACATAATAAATCTTCTCAGGAAAGAAACACAAATGCTGCAGAGCCTGGTTGACCTATAGTTGTAAAAATCCCAGAGTCCTTTCAGTATTACATGATAGCAGCTCTCTACACCCTCCACCATGCCACATGTGCCCCCCACCATTCCACACCAGAGGACAACAAAAAAACCCAGTTTCACTTACCCTAACCGGTGAGAACGATGGTTGACATATGTATAAGCCACAAAAAACTATACTTGTACACTCAAATGGATAGAAGAATTTGTTTGCTGCCTTTCCAATTGTAAAGTTTTATTCCATTAATTTATGTTAAAAGTTTCTACTGCATTGACACCATCAGATCAGGATTAAACAAAGACTGTGAATGGCTATCCAACTACAGAGGCAGTTTCTCCTCCTTTGGTGTTCACACCTCAACTGCTAGCAGAGGACCTCACCCTCTCTGATTGAACTAATGTCGTTATCTCCATACTGCTTCTTGCCTGCATATTTATACCTGCCTCTGGAAATTTCCATTACACGCGTCTGACGAAGTGGGCATTCACCCACAAAAGCTTATGCTCCAATACATCTGTTAGTCTTAAAGGTGCCACAGGACCCTCTGTTGCATTGGCTATGGCTTTTTTGCATGCTGCTTTTGCCACTCAATAAATTTCTGGTTTAGGAGAATAAAATTATCTTTATCATTCACAACTCATACTGCAGAATACACAGCAGTACTCAAATCTGACAGTATTTATAAATGTACGGCAAGCACAAAATAACTCATTGGTTCAGGAAAAAACACTTATAAAAGTACAGGCAGCACTACACAATTCCTAGCAGCACCCAAAGCTCCAGGCACAAAGAACAGTCCAGTCCAGAACACCACTATGGCTTGCCATTACAGAGCTCTTTTAAATCCTCCCTTAACCACATAGCATCACACTAAGTTCTTGTCTTGAACTGTTCCAAGTCAGCAAACAGCTGCTAAACCTCCGCCCTCCACCCTGGCAGGTGTTCTTCTCTCTTTGCTTCACAGATATTATGCAGGACGCAACAGACAGCTATAATCAGTGGGATATTTTTCACACTGAGCTCTAATATAGTGTGTAAACACTGCTAGTGTCCCTTCAATTTGCCAAAAGCACATTCAACACCTGCTGAACTGTAGCTGAATCTTTCCTTTGTGCTGTCAAGGTGGCTGGCAAATGGCTTCATGAGCCAGGGGAACAAGCAGTAGCCTGGGTGGCATAGAATCACTATTGGCATTTCAGTATCATCGATGATAATCTACTGTTCAAGAGA